GGAGCCCCCTCCCTATGGGGCCCGCAGATCATGTTGGTAATCCGAGCGGGTCAACGGAATCCTGTAACTGTCGTCACTTTTGAGCTCCCCAGGCCTGAAAATGGAGGAAGTCTCAGGCGGGAGCCTCGTCTGTGAGTGAATTGGGAGGAAGTCTCCGGCGGGAGCTCCCTCCCTATGGGGCCCGCAGATCATGTTGGTAATCCGAGCGGGTCATCAGGATCCTGTATTTGTCGTCACTTTTGGGCTCCTCAAGCCTGAATTTGGAGGAAGTCTCAGGCGGGAGCATCGTCTGTGAGTAGATTGTGAGGAAGTCTCAGGCGGGAACCCACTCCCAATGGGGCCCGCAGATCATGTTGGTAATCCGAGCGGGTCATCGGAATCCTGTAATTGTCGTCACTTTTGAGCTCCCCAGGCATGAAAATGGAGGAAGTCTCAGGCGGGAGCCTCGTCTGTGAGTGAATTGGGAGGAAGTCTCAGGCGGGAGCTCCCTCCCTATGGGGCCCGCAGATCATGTTGGTAATCCGAGCGCGTCATCGGAAACTTATAACTGTCGTCACTTTTGGGCTCCTCAAGCCTGAATTTGGCGGAAGTCTCAGGCGGGAGCCTCGTCTGTGAGTGAATTCTGAGGAAGGCTCAGGCGGGAGCCCCCTCCCTATGGGGCCCGCAGATCATGTTGGTAATCCGAGCGGGTCATCGGAACCTTGTAACTGTCGTCACTTTTGGGCTCGCCAACCCTGAATTCGGAGGAAGTCTCAGGCGGGAGCCTCGTCTCTGAGTGAATTGTGAGGAAGTCTCAGGCGGGAGCTCCCTCCCTATGGGGCCCGCAGATCATGTTGGTAATCCGAGCGGGTCATCGGAACCCTGTAACTGTCGTCACTTTTGGGCTCCTCAAGCCTGAATATGGAGAAAGTCTCAGGCGGTTTTGCCCAGGGCGGAGGCGAAGCAGCTCGCGGCAGAGCTGGGCTTCGTGCTGCCTTCCGCCTGAGCGCGGCTGCGCCTCGCTCGAAGCCCGCGGGGTTGTCCCAACGTCTTGGTCTTGCGCGCCAACGGCTCGCGGGGTTGCCCCGACAGCCTGGCCCGCGGGGTTGTCCCAACGGCTGCGCGACGTGACCAGTAGAGAACGCGCCTGTGCTGGCCGTGGCGGCGACGGCGCCGAGGAACATCGACATGCGCGCTCATGCAACAGGAAGGGGAGGAGGTGGCGGGGCGCGGAACAAACAGGGGGGCGAGGATGGGGACAACGTAAGGAGTGGAAGGGGGGCCCGCGCCAAGGCGACAGGAAATATACGCAGAAGAGACAGCCAGGACGCCTCACCAACCACGAGGACGACGGTGATGGTTGTTTCCAGATTCGCCCAGAGGATTCTTATGTGGGGTTCTTCCGTCGGAGTAATGTGGCGAATTACAAAAGGGAATCCTTCTGTGGTGAATTACACAAGGATCTCTTTTGTGGAGAATTACAAAGGGATTCCCCTTGGTGGAGGAATACAAAGGGATTCCTTTTGTGGAGGATTACAAATTGATTTCCTTTGAGGGCTCTCCTGGAAGTGAACCAGGGGACAAAACAAAAAAAAAACGAAAATCGGTGAAACAAATTTTAAAGCAGGTGTTCAATGAATTTCCAATGTTTTGAAACACAAACATATAAAACAAACACAGCATTTCCAAGGTTTTGATGCCGAAACCATACGAAATCACAGCATTTTTGCATTCGGATTTTGAACATGCTGTGGTTTTATATGTTTTTGCTTCAGAACATTGGAAAATCATTGAAAACCTGCGATTTTCTTAAGGTTCAATGATTTCCTGATTTGTTTTTTTCTTTTGCCCCCTGGTTCACTTCCAGGAAAGCACTCAAAGGAAATCAATTTGTAATCCTCCACAAAAGGAATCCCTTTGTATTCCTCCACCAAAGGGAATGTCTTTGTAATTCTCCACAAAAGGGATCCTTTTGTAATCCTCCACAAAAGGAATCCTTTTGTAATCCGCCACAAAAGGAAACAGTTTGTAATTCACCATGAACAGAATTCCCTTGTAAATCCCCACAAAAAAACTCAATTTAAAATGTGCTACAACAGGAATCGTTCTGCATTCCACTACTTTGAGCAATCCCTTTAGAGATGACGAAAATCATAATCAACAGGAAAGCAAGCACATCAGAAGTAATAGACCAAAAACCGAGGTGGTACACACACACACACACACACACACGGTTTTATCAACCTTACCCCCTTCCCAGGTGCCGTGGACACGCGAAAGGACATGCCCCGCGCGCTCGCGCCAGGCGCATGTCTATGTAGTCCCCCCCCCGCCCCAATAGGTGGGTCCCTCCTGGGAGCCGCCAGGCGCATGTTCGGTGGTGGAGGAGGAGGAGGAGGAGAAGGAGGGCGAGGATCCCCAGGAGGAGGAGGAGGAGGATGAGGAGGAGGAGGAGGAGGTTGAGGAGGAGGAGGATGAGGAGGAGGAGGAGGAGGACGAGGAGAAGGAGGAGGAGGAAGAGACGAGGAGGAGACGAGGAGGAGGATGAGGAGGAGGAGAAGGAGGCTTCCTGGGGGTTAGCTTTTTGTTCCCCGGATCAGTTTCTGATGCTCCCAGGTCCCGTGCACGGCCCCCGAGGGCCCTCCTCCTCCTCCTCCTCCTCCTCCTCCTCTTCCGCCGCCTCCCTCCTCCTCCTCTCCTCTCCTCCTCCTCTCTCCTCCTCCTCCTCCTCCTCTCCTTTCTCCTCCTCCTCCTCCTCCTCCTGCTCCTCCCCCTCCTTCCTCCTCACCCTCCTTTCTCCTCCCCCTCCTCATCCTCCTCCTTCTCCTCTGGTCGGGACCTCTGAGGCCGCGGATGGAACACATCCTGCGCGGCAGCACGCCCGTCTGATCGGAGAGGAGCGCGGGCGCGCGCGGCAGACTGCGCAGTGGGCCTCCTCACCCTCCTTTCTCCTCCCCCTCCTCATCCTCCTCCTTCTCCTCTGGTCGGGACCTCTGAGGCCGCGGATGGAACACATCCTGCGCGGCAGCACGCCCGTCTGATCGGAGAGGAGCGCGGGCGCGCGCGGCAGACTGCGCAGTGGGCGGGCCGCCAGAGGGTGGCGGGAAGGAGGCAGGGAGGGAGGCAGGGATGCACATCGAGGGTCCCAAGAACACACTGTCAGGGGCCCATGCTGGCAACCACCATGCGCAATCCCCAGGACAGACCATGTGAGGAGATTACCCCACACGGCGCGGGGCGAGAGACGATGCACAACATGTCATTACACGACAGCGGCAGCCCGGGTGGCGATATATACATCTATGTCTATATGTATAGATATGTATACATATGTGTGCATGTGCATAAACAGATAAATAAATAACAGTTCGAAGTGCCTTGTTGATCTGGTAGTCGTCCTTCAAGAGGAAGGTGACTCCGACGGGAAAGTGGTCAGAGGGGTGCGTCTGGCGCGGGGCTTCGCGTCGCGGGGAGCGGTCGGGCGAATATTTCCTCACTCCGTCCTCCTCCCCCCATCCCTCCACTAGAAGAAGAAAAAAATACATAAACATAAAATCTTGGCGCTCCGCGCGGATTTCTTGGATTCGCGCTGGACCCCCTCTCTGGCGCACGCAGCGCGCCAGGGGCGGCGCTGGAGGCGCCGCCCAGGGGCCCAGGCGCGGATCCAAGAAACCCGCGTGGAGCGCCAAACATTTATGTTTATGTGGTTCTTCTCCAATCAGTGCTTGCACTGAAGGGGTCCTAGTGGAGGTTGAAGGATTCGGCGAAAATTTCCCGCCGATTGTGATCGCACGCTGGGTTCCCGGGTTCCCGGTTCCGGGTTCCCGGGTTCCTGGTTCCCGAGCCGACTTCGGTGGGCGGCGAGGTTCCCAGGTTCCCGGATTCCTGGTCGATCTTCTTATCGGTCGGTCTCAGCATCGATCTCATTTCCCACCTCTCTGTCGATCTCACCATCGATCTCATGGTCTATCTCACAATCGATCTCGCAAGAGATCTCACTAGACATCGCACGAGCGATCTCGC